ATAAAAATATTAATTGATGTAAGTTCCAATTTCTTCTTACTTCTTTAAATAATCATTTTATGAAATTTTAAACGCTTGCTTTATCAACCTGTTGCTGTTTCCAATCGCAAAACTTTCTCTTTCAGGAAAAAACACACGCCATATACGTGTGCATATATAATTCTATGAAATATGCTTAGAATAGGTTGCGTGAGATGTTTATAGAATAAGGATTAATTGTGCCTATAATAACAAATTCTTAGGAATTCTATATGTTTTTTCTGATTACGTTTTCTTTTTGAAGTTACATGGCATTCATACTTTCTTTAATTTAATAATTTATTTTTTAATATTTGAAAGAAGAATATTTGTTTCTATGCAAATAATTTGTACATCAAGTAATTAAGAAGATGGTTTGTGATCTCAGTCCATTGCCCTTTTCAGATATCATAGGATTCCCTTGGCGTACCCTACGAGATGAAAAGCAAGTTGCAACATTGACATTGACGTGGTTAGCATAAGAAGAGCGAATGTGGCAAGTGCAAAAGAAGGTCTAGTGTTCATTAACACTCTTTGCAATACTCCAACTGCTTCACATACATCTGAATCGTAATTCTGGAAGTACTTTTTCTCCCATTCGTTCCAGTCGGAAGAATCTTTACCCTTCGTTTCCAGTGTCTCAATCTCTCGAATTCGCATTCTGAGAAGGATCATGTTGTCGTCCACCATCTTCCCCTCGTAGTGGTGCCCAAAGGAGTCACTTTTTGATGCACAGATTAAGCTCCTACGAGGTGTGGTGACATTAGAGAACACCTTGTGTTCTCGTGAAAGAGGTTTTGATAAGAACACATGGGAACGTAGAGAGGTTGCTTGCATTTTTTAGAACTTGAAAATGGTTCAAAGGGATCAAATGTTGCAATGGGTAAAATTGTGATTGGAATGTTATTATGGGGATGAGAATGCAATGTGTTATTTATAAATGTGTGTGTGTGTGTAAAATAGCATGGGAAGTGATATTGGAGGTCAAGGAAAGGGGAGGACGGTGGAGTGGAGGAATGGGCGTAAACCGAAGATTCGAAGAAAGAGAGATTGGGAATTACGGCAGAGCATGTAATTGGGGTTGAAGGTAGCGTGCACATCGACTTGAAGTTGAATGTTTCGTACGCTAAGAGAACCTTCTTGTCTTGAATAACTTTTGTTCTGTTTGTTCTGTACATAACTGCCCAACATTATGGCCATAATATATTGCAATTTGGAAGACAGTTCAATTTTTAAATCAAATAAAAATACCTAATCATAAGATGATCGATAATGGGGCCAAGCCGAAGAGCTACGCTACAATATTAAATTAAATTATTTGAATGTTGACGTTTCAGATGACTCTATTGATTTTTTTTTTTACATGGTAGCTTTATTTAATAAATTTTAAAGCAAAATGATATTGTAAGAATAATATACGTGATTCGGAAATTAAACAAGTAAAAAGCAAAAAAATCCACGCAGATTGATAAATTGAAGTCGTGATACCACCATGACGCTAACTAAGGTCAAATCTTTGGGGACGAGAAATAGCTATTTAACGTCCCATGATCGGTTTAATTCTATGGAAAATAAAAGAAAAGGATACAGAATAACAATTTTAAAAGCAAAGTTTGATTCTTTTAATGAAAATTAGAACATGAATCATTAAACAGAAACAAATAAATTGTCCTTATTAAATATTCAAATTTAAAATACTTTAATAATCCACCTATAAGTTGAGAAAATAATAGATATATTCACTGAAATTATAACACGATTCTATATCATCATCCTGTCACAATTTATTGCTTATACTGAACTTGTCAATTTGTTAATAAAAACACTCAAATTCAGGCTTATTGCAATTTCTAATTA